TNTGAAGAAGCTATCTGTATAACCTTNTGAAACTCAGGCAAAATCATCTTTAGAAATTAACATTAGACTGATAACTTGCCTGGTAAAAAACTGAAACAGCGACCCAATAAGACGACAATCATGCCTAGTTTTTGCTTGGAAGTAGAACATAGCAAGTGATGGCCAATGACGTAGCTTCAATTTTCCAATCCTTATGAGACAAAGCTGAGTCTAAGTGAAAGTTCTTAATTTGAATCCAAATATCCAATTTCTGACTAGGTTATTAATCTTTGGCCTGTTTCTTCCCATCATTTCAGACTCCTTAAATTTCCCATTGTCATTGCTTCTCCCCCTTCTTAGTTTGGATTTCTTTTTGAACTATACTTTGCTTCTCAACTGCATCTGATTTCTAACAGTAAATGTTTTAGAAGCCTTGCCATTGTGCACCTTATGCTGATTTTGATCACATCAGCTGATTTTGACGTTGACCATTTCTTTTTGTCCGAATCTGCGACTTTGAAATCTTTCCAAGTCATGATCAATCTTGTATTCTCGGTCTTAAACTCTTCAACGATAAATGTTAACGGAATTTAATCGAAATGCCATGGTACAAGTGGAGTTGACTAAAGAGTTTATTAATAAAACTCTCAATCTTTTCTCATAAAGCATCAAGTGCCAAAAAGGGGGTTTTGATACAAGTTACTTTTGATAAATCAAGTCTTTGAAACTCTTCAGGAAACCTGTTAAATCGATAATTCGCACAATATTCATTTTTAGAAAAGTTGATAATAGTTCTTAATTAACATTCATGTTGTTAATTATAGTGATTTGTTTTTTTTAAAGCAATGAACATTTCGTTAAAATATTCAGGTGAAACAATATACTATTTAGTGATAATTGATAATTCAAATGACATTAGTACAATGAATGGAAGCAAAATATTGTTGAATAATAATCTTAAAACAACAATATTAATATATTGATAATGTACAAACATGATATATCCATCTATTCAATATATTTCAATGTTTTAACAAGTTCAGTAATGAATCTATACAGAAATCATTGTCAGGTTAAGTGATAAATATAAATATATTTAAACATGAAATCAACGACACGATGATGTTAAATATAATCCAACTTAACTTATTTCTTAAACCAACAATATTTTAATGTACAACTGTATATTTAGTATTTTAGACGTTTTATTAAGTTAAGTTATAATTCTATAGAGAAATCATTGTCATATTAAGTACTTAATATTTATATATTTCTAGATAAAATTATAACTTGTAACTTTAAAGTAAATTAACTGATATTTTTATTCTAATGTCTAATGAAGGAATCGTCTGAAGTCTAAAATTAAGTCTCGTCCCCAATCTCCTGTAGTGTAAATTTATAAATATCACTGTATGTCTCTGGTGTTCAAAGACAATAATCAACTTCCGTCTTGACCACCAACATCGAATATATTCTTTTTACCGACAGTAATTATTTTTAACTCTTTTCCATTCACTATTAATTAAAAACTAACTAACTATCCAAATTGTGTACATTGTATACGGTAATCACCGACAATCAAGGCCATACTACAACTCACTTAAACCGTTTAAGGTATACGATTTAATCTGGATTAAAGTTTTGGAATTCAATCAAGTTAAGATGGGGTTGTTTTAAAAACACTAGGTACAAAAAGTATATAAGAACACAATACTTGGGTACATCATTATACAATCTCAAGTGAAGAGTGATATCAAGTGTAAAGTCAATAATTTGTCAAAATGAAATCAATGTCTAAACAAGTTTTATCAAAACGTTTAAGATCTAACTGGTCAATGAAGAATCCACAAGATGTTTTAAATAATGGAAGAATAGATATTGATGAGAATTTAAAAAGTCTTCA